GATTGTCGGTCAAGGCAACCATGGCAGTCTCCACCCCAAAGCCTGTCCAATGCAATTCCAATGCAATTAATGTATTCCAATACAAAACATACAATTGGAAGGCAGCAGATTTGTGAAGGCTACAATAGGTCTTCCACCACTAACTTGGCAAAATTCTCTGGAGTCCAGGGTTCAAATTCCTGCTAGGCCATGGAACACCACTCAGAGGATGGCAATAGCAAACTCCTTCTGAAGAAACTGGCTGAGGAAATCCCATGATAGGGTTGCATTAAGACTGCCATTAAGTCAGAAAGGACTTGAAGACATGCAACAATAGCAAACCAAGAGAAACATCTATGGAGTGTCAAGGATATTTTTAAAGAAGGAAATATGACAGTCTTCACCAATCTGGTAGCTCCCAGATATATTGGAATGCAACTCTTTTCCTCCCCTGACAGCATGACTGTATAAGATAAGGGCACAGAGGGCACAGAAAATGCAAAGTTGTTATTCACACTCAAGAAATGTAAAACTCCATTTCAGAGTGAAAGTGTCACCATTTGTAAAGCTGTAAACTGAGAAGGACTCTCTTTTCAGCAGCCTGGAATATGAGAGGCAGGGTAGGGACAAAGCTTTTCTGCTTTGGAAGTTTAATAGCAAATCTGAATGATGGCTTGCTCAAAAAAAAAAAAACAATCCCCAATTAAAGGCCAGGCTGTACTGAATGAAAATGCAATTAGAAGGATTATCATCCATTACTTTGAAGCAGGACACAGAACACAATGCTTGGTAGTCTCCCCCAGGAATGAGGAAGAAAGACAAAAACAATGGAAAATGTATCCAAGTAACTGAAAGTGTTTGTGGTTGCACTCAGCCAAGCAGGTATTTTTTAAATCCACAGAGAAACTTGTGTGTTTGATCTTTTGGTCTTTTCTGTTTCAGTACTAAAGGAAAATCTGTTTTAAAAACAATGTGTTCTGCTTGCAGGGATAGCTGGTGGCATCCATGTTGGTAGGGTAGTGAATCTTCTCCATGTTTTAATCTAAACGTAGCTAGCTAATGTATTGAACCTAGCCCCCAAACAGAACCTGGGACAGCTTATTCAAAGTGGCCTACCTATAAAGCCAGTATGGGTTAGTGGTTTGACAGCTGGACTAGGATTCTGGGAGGCCAGGGTCCAAATCCCTGCTCAGCCATGGAAAGCCACTGGATGACCTTCAGCAAACCACACTCTCAGGCTACGAAATAGACAATGGCAAGCTTCATCTGAATAAATCTTGTCAATAAAACCCTGTGATAGGGTCATCACAAGTCGGAGCTGACTTGAAGGCACAAAATAATAACAACAATGGGCAGTCATCCTCCTTGAGAGCGAGTAACCCATGTTCATAATAACCTTTAATGGTTTAATTACTTGTGTACCCAGCACACTGAAAATGAGGACAGCTTGGCAATACTGCTTTTTAATATATTTCTAGCATTCATTCCTTTCCCTCCTGTACTTCACCATCTCTTTTGTGGCTTGTTCTACTTTGATTGTGAGCCTTCAGGCAGGGATTTGCCATTTGTTCTTAATTTACCATGAAGTACTTAGTAAATTTTAAGTGCTCTACAAATTAATCCTAATAACAATCATAATGTCATGAACGGCAGGGGCTACAGCCATTTTCCTGGCTGTTCCAACCATCATTTGTGACTGCCGCACCACCGCAGCTTGCAAAATGATGGCTGTGGATGTTCCTTTAGGCACCGCTGGGAACCAGTAGGACTTGAAACTACTGTTGACGTCAATAAGAAAAATCAATAAAGCTCTTATCTTATTGTAGGCTGGGCTGGGCTGGGCCAAGGAGCCATCTGTTGCCAATGACCTTTTCAAAAATGCATGCATGTGTGTGGGGGGGGGGGGTAAGAGATGAGTGAAGGGAGAGAGAGAGGAAGAAAGGAAGAAACGGAGATCAAGGAAATGATTTCATATTCATCTGTGCCAGTTTCAAATAGAAGGACTATTCAGTTCATCAGCTAAGGTGCAAAAGGATCCATGCCAAACCATATCCTGCTTCCTGTGTAAAAGAGCCCAAATCTAAACAAGAGAATCCTGCTTTGAGAAAGGGGTAGGACTCTCCAAATTCTTCTGTTCAAAGCATATTCAGAAATATTTAACAAAGGGATTGACATTTTTGAACTGGAAGGATGATGTGTGGCAACTGGGTTGTTCTGAAGATCTAAATCTCAATCTGCAGAATAGGAATGGGAATTGTGCATCCCTTCAGTTCCAAATCCTGAATATGTCAAGGCATCCTAATGTATTGCCTCGGTCCAATTGTTATTTTCACCCAGAGGAGACTAGGGCCTCTACAAACAGTGCAAAGCATTGTCTTGGAGGCAGGGAAGGGGAGAGGCAGCCGCACAACAGCCGCCCCAACCCCTCCCCGAGGACATCATCAGGGCATGCACCGTTATGCATGGCACATGCTCTGAATAGCTCCTCCCGGCACAGCGTCTTCACAGGCTGTGCCAGAAGACACACGCATCAGCTCTTCCGGCACCCTTTTTCAACCTAAATGCTGACTGATCCTTATTTTCCTTGGTCTGCAATAAAATCTTTTTGTTCTTTCACCAAGCCTATTGTCTGAGTCCATGGAACAATTGATTGGTACATGACAATAGGCTGATATTGCCAAATATCACCTAGTGCGATGCAACAGCATTTGGACCAAGATGAACCCTTCACAGAAATACTTCTGGAAGAGAGGCAAGAAGACGACCAGGGAGACAGTGCCCTGGAGGCAGAGATGGTTCATGGCCTGGGGGCCTGACCTAGAGGTGCCTGAGATGCTGAAGAGGGTGCAGGGCTGAGTCTATGAAGAAAAGTCTGGGAGGACTATGGGATGCAGATGCAGCAGATGCAGCAGATGCAAAAAGAGCTGAAATCAATGCATGCCACCTTAATGGAGTTGGTAAATGCACTAGCCAGGCTGACCGCTGAACAACCTACCCATGGTGAGATGGGAACTGCTGGGACAACAGCAGCGGTGACTCTACCTGGACCAGGGAATCCAGGGGTCCCAACGCCAAGGAACCAAGACTCAGTGACACAGCACCTGGGGGTAAAATTTGACAGAAGGGAAAGTCAGTTACCCTATTTCTAGTCCCAATTGGCCAGTCACATGAACGAGTGGGGTCAAACCTTCCCAAATGAAGGGGCCAGAGTGAGGTGTGTGGCAACCCAACTGGTTGGTGCAACTGTATGACAGCGAAGCCACAGACCTACAAGACCTGCTGGCTTTTATGGTGGCCCTGCAAACCTGATTTGAGGACCTGCTTCAGGCACAGAAAGCCCACACTAAACTGATGGCATTAGAGCAAGGCAACCACTCTGTGTCAGAATATGCTGTGGAATTTTGCAGTCTGGTGGTGCAAGTTCCTGAGTGGCCCAAAGTGGTGAAAGTGCAATACTTCAAAGAAGGCTTGCAGCCAGACCTTTTGGAGTGGGCCCTCTCGAGGGACAATCTGCACACCATGAGGGAGTGGATTTGTCTGGCCAGGGAAAGCGAATTGGTCAAAAGGTTGTAGTACAGTCACCAGGCAGAAATGAAAAGGTTACATTGCAGACAGGTGGGGCTAAGTAACTCCATTCTATATATAGGGACAAGAAGGCAGCAAATAACTGATCATTATTGTCCTTGGTCTACAATAAAGTATTTTTGTTCTTTCACCATCGTCCTTGGAATAGAGCTGATTAGTTCATGACAGTCATTTGGAATAGAAGAGCTTCTAGTTTTAATCAGGGAAAAATATGTACAGCAAACTGTTTCAGAAGTCTGAGGAAATGGTGAGCAAACCATCATGAAAGTGGGTGTAAATTGATTCTGTTGTTTTGTCTTCAATAAAAATCAGGTTTTAAAAAGAGAAAATCATGAAAGGAAATCACTCAGGGAGAAAAAGAACATTTAACAAGTGGTTGTTTTGAAGTCTTTTGATGAGGGAAAGGGAAGAATATACCAAGGAGGAATTCTAGGCACTGGAAGAAGCAGACATATAGGGTGAAAGACAATGGAATCCAAGGAAAGGGGACATATCTAGAAGTAGCCATGTTGACCATGGAAGAAAGTACAGTAACATCCAACATCCAGAAAACAGTGATATCTTTATTGGCCAACCAAAATGCTTTGTAAGTTACAAGCTTACACAGCTCCACTAGCTTCTTCATCAGGCAAAGATGTTAAAAATTATACAGGAGAAAGAAAAAACAATTATAATGATGTTAGTCACAAGCCTGCATTTTGTTACGCTATTGCTGTTCTCAGTTGAGGTGTTGTTGGAGGGACATTCATATAGGCCAGCCTCACCTTCTTCTGGCCATGTGAGTACTTCAAGGGGGGGGGGGAATTAAGTTCTATTAGCAAGACAAAAGGCTTCTCTTGATATCCAAGTTGCCTCAGTCCTTTATGAAGCCACAAGCTCCTTTAGGGGGATGCAGATGGTGAGAAACGCCGTCCTCAATCCCAGGAAGGGGAGGGACAGCCAGATGCTGGGCACCCCATCCCCTTGCTGAGGACATCATCAGAGCGACGGCCCGCCCAGATGACGGGCACTCCAATGACGTCCTTCTGGCTCAGCATCCGGACAGGCTGAGCTGGAAGAGACACCGAAGAGGCGCGTCACGCCTTTTGCGGCATCCCTTTCACAGCTCGCAGAAGGAGCGCTATTTTAGTGCTTCTTTCACAGGTAGCGAAAGGGAGGATTGAGGCCGAGGTGTCCGGCAGCCTCGGCCTCGATCCTCCACTTTCAGAGGCGGCCCAAGGCCACCCATCTGCTTCCCCCCTTAGTGGGCCTTCTTGAAGGTGTACCATAAGAAAGCACTTAAGAGGAGCTAAACAATTCTCTCCATAGTCCAATTTGCTTTGGTGGCACCAGAGAAGAAAATTGGATCTGGGGAAAAAGATGTTCTTACTATAGTTTTTCTCACTGTTGTTTGCATGTGGTTTTGAAACTGGTGTTCCAGATGCAGGAATAGAAGAGATAAGAGACAGAATAGCAAAGAGACCAGTCCTGTCCCTTGGGAGCTTTCCATCTGATTCCAAACATAACATCCCAAAAGACAATCCTTTTCAATGCACATTAGCTACTTTCTCCCAGACAACCGAGGTCACAGAAGAAGGACTCTTTAAGTCCTTTAAGAACATATCCAGAGGGGGGTGACCAAGATGGTAAAAGGTCTAGAAGCCATGTCCTATCAGGAGCAGCTTACAGAGCTAGGTGCGTTTAGCCTGGGAAAGAGGAGGATAGCCATCTTTAAATATTTGAAAGGATGTCATATTGAGGATGAAGCAAGCTTATTTTCTGATATTCCCGATACTAGGACATGGACAATGGGTTCAAACTACAAGAAAAGAGATTCTACCTGAACATTAGGAAGAACTTCCTGATGGTAAAAGCAGTTTGAAAGTGGAAAACACTGCCCTGGAGAATCTCCTACTTTGGAGGTTTTTAAACAGAGGCCAGATGGCCATCTGTCAGGACTGTTTTGATTGTGTCTTCCTGCTGGCAGGGAGCTGAATTGGATTATTGTTGTTTTCTCTACCAATTCTTTGATTAAGTCATTCTTCTGGCCACAGAGGCCCTATCAAAGTTCTCTCTTGCCTGCTCTCTGCTCAGCTTCATTAAACTATTTGTTCATTTGCACAGAGAGGTCAGCAGTTGAGGTACCAAAGGGAAAAAACTCTGGTGGGGGATCTAATTGCTATTAGCATTTAGTTCAGGTAAAATGGAGATTAGAGCACAGAAAGTGGCTCCCTCAGAGCACCCAAGCCAAGATGTCTAGTGCATTTAGCTAAGGTATTCTAGCCTCCAAAGCTGAAAATACCATAGCCATGGTTGTAAAAATATAAGCTTAAATTATGTTGATAGTCCCAAACAGAGTAGATCTATTGAAACAATGGGGGGTTGCAGATTGCCAGAAATAGTTCAAATTGAGTCCACTTTTAGGGTTAGGGTTAGGGTTAGGGAATCATGGGAACTGTATTTTATTATGGCACCAGAGCTCTCTGACAGAGAAGGCTCAATGTCTCAGACAAAAACCAATTCCCATGATTCCCTAGCACTAACCCTAACCCTAAAAGTGGACTCGATTTGCACTATTTCTGGCAGTCTGCAACCCCCCAATGTGAATTATTAAGTCAACACTTAAGTGAAT